CTGCCTTCCTCCTCACCACCACGGCCACCAGTCTGTCCTGCTCAGTCCAGGTTTCAATCCTCCAGAACTGTTTCTGGCAGGCCAGCACAACCAGCCATGCTTGTGGATCAACAGTTACTGATAAATGTGCCACAGTTCCTCCCGTGATGCAGGGCAGCTCCCCCCAGCATTGCTGCTACCAGAGAGTGATCGCTGATATCGCCGGCCGCGGTCTCTGCACAGACCACAAACAGGACAGGCTGTTGGGAACTGCCTTGAGCTGTTTGATTTTCCAGCATCACTCTCAGTCCATGGCTATGGCAATGGGAAGGTGCCAGCAGCTCACATCCCAGGCAGCAGACACAGAACTCAATGTCACAACTCACTTTATGAGCTTTGTGACCAATCACACAAAGCAAAAGCACACTGACAGTATTTATATCTGTATAGCATATACAGACATATATACAGAGGGTGGCATTCCCAGCTCTGCCCACGTCCTTCCCTCTTGGCAGCAGGAGGGATGGATGGATGGATGATGGATGGATGGATGGATGGATGGATGGATGGATGGATGGATGATGGATGGATGGATGGATGGATGGATGGATGGATGGATGATGGATGGATGGATGGATGGATGGATGGATGGATGGATGGGAGTGTGGAGGATGGCAGCCACACGTCGGGGGCAGAGAGCTGTGGCAGTGTCCCACCACCCACTCCTCTCCCTCTTCCAGCCCTCGTTGAAAGGTTTTCAGTTTCCCAGAGCTGGGACAGTCAGCTCTGCCTGCAATAAACCACAAGGTGCAGACAGAACTGGGCATTTACACATGTGTGTGGGTTTTACCCAGAAACCCCCAAAATGGGAACCTGTAGGACTGTCCGGGGGTGGGATGGTGGGGATGGAAGGAGATGAGAGATCTCTGAACCAGGCCAGGAATTTGGGGTTCATTGCAAAGGGCCTGGGTGCAGGGCCCTGCTGGGAGCTGCCAGACACAGCTCAGAGCAGCGGTCAGCGGCCTTGGAATATTGTCCGTCCGGCTAGCAGGGCGACCAGCTGGCTACTGCACAGGTGGGGAGCCAATCCCAGTGACAGGGCCCCAGGACTGCTCCCACGGGCACCCCTCGGTGGCAGAAGGCTTCGGGCTGTGTCCGTGGGGACGAAATCACGCTGAGTAGGTTATCAGGCTGCGAGAAATGACGAGACTGAGAGACGGACACTCCCTGGGGACAGTCAGGTTTGTTGCAGCCAGGAGTGACCCCTGGGAGCAGTCAGCCAGAGAATGTCACCAATATACAAGCGTCAGGGAGTTATAAAGGGGGAGGAATCCAGAGAAGGGGTTTCCAACAGAACCAATCCAGGAAGGGGTGGGAGTGAACTTAGGTTAACAGACATTAAGGGAAAACCAATGGATACATAACAAAGGAGGGGCCCCGGTCCCACAGCCAATCATAGCTCCCAAAGCAAAGAACATTCTGGAAAAAAAGGTGGAGTAGGGAGTGACTGGCAGGGCCCAGGGAGGAAGGAGTATGCGCCCATATAAGGAAACAAGGGGAGGGGAACTGGGAGTTACCTCATAAAACCAGTGGATTGACAGAACTTAAGGCGGGAGTAACCATGACAACTGAATAACTGACATTGTTTAGGCGGGAAAAACAACTGAGAGCAGAACCACAATACAAAATGGGGGAGCAACTAGACAAACTAACATAACACACCACAACAGCTCAGAGCAGTAAGGAGAGAAGAGAGGGGCAGAGAGGATGAGAGAGTAAAAGGGGTAAGACAGCGAGGTTCCTATTACAATACCACAAATTTTCTTCTGTGTTGAATATTCTGATTCTCACTAACCAATCCAGTACAAGATACAAATCCTACAGCATTTCCATACAGCCTATAAGAATCATTACATTACCACACTCTGTTACATGTTAAACCCTACAAACTCCTCTTTGGGCCCTTCTGCCAAGCTGCAGGGTCTGCTCTGACCCTTGGGCCTGTCTGCAAGCAGAGGGTGTTGTTCCATCAATAGGGGATCACCTTCAGCCAGCCATGCCATTGTTTTCCCTTTGTTCAGTAACTGAGGCACCTCAAAGCTTGCTTTCATTTCAATCTCGCTTATAGTTTCCATATTCTCAAAATCTTTTGCCGGGCAATCATATTTGTAAGGCTTTCCTGTCTCATCTTCCCCAACAGGAAACAAGGGATGGCTATCCAGATCCAGGGTGACCCTGAGAGGGGGTCAGCACCACTAACTCCCCTCAACAGGGACCAGGGAGGGCTGGGGGACTCCACACACGGTAAAGGAGACCATTTACAGGTGCTTATAATGGATAAAAACCAGATTGTGGCCAGAACTGTGCACTGTGTTGTGTCAATGAACCCTCTCCGGAGGTCTCTGTCTCTCTCTGCCCCTGGCCCAGAGCTGGGGGCTGATGGGGGGTCTGGGGGTGCCTCCACCATGGCAGAGCCCGGCAGGGTGAGCCTGGGGGTGTCACCCTGGAGAGCAGGTGCTCCTGACACTAATCCTGACCGATCAGGGGGCAGATAAGGTGTCAGCTCCAGTGACACCCAGCTCAGCAGCACAAAACTAACTTTCAAGCAATTATTAAAAAATAAAACCAATTCTGCTGGCATAATCTGACAGCTGTGCTGATGGCACATCATGATAAGGGAAATCCCACATGGAGCCACATTCTGGTGCCTGTACCTCAAACTGCACCTTCCCCCTGCCCACAATGGTGTCGTGTGTCCCTGTCTGCCTCTGCTCGTTCCAAGAGACAGCACAGCTCTGCCAGCTGCTGAATCACTGTGCCCCTGGGTGTCGGGGTCGCTGCTGCTCACAGTGACTTTGAGAAATGTTAGAAAGTCTCTGTTCCCAGCCCAGTGCTCAAAGGAGCAGTCAGAGCTCTTCATTTCTCAGTCTCAAGGTTGTTTATTGTTCCTTGTCTATAAAATTCTTTCTCCTTCCCTGCTCAGGTCCCTCCAGCAGGACAGTCAGAGGCACTCTGCCTGCCCCAGGGCAGTGTTACCTTTTTATACTAAAAACTACCTGTACAATATTTACAGTTACTTCCCAATACCCATCACCTGTGTTAGACACTGAGCTTCTACTCTAAAGCAATCTAAAAGTGCCAACATCACCCAGAAGATGGAGGCCAAGAAGAAGAAGGAGAAAAGCTGGACATGCCCAGATCCCTCCATCTTGCCCCCTGAACTCCCATTCTAAAAACCCCAAAATCTATTTTTCACCCTGTGATAAATTCACTGTCATTCTACTTAATTTGTCATGGCTTGCAGATCTTCATCTGAGGTTGGTAACTTGCTCCATGGGTCACTATCAAACCCACAGGGGCATTTTGGGCTCTCTGAGTGCCAGGGTCTCTGAGCCCCCTGGCAGGGTCTGGGCTGCTCAGGACAGACAGAGGGATCCCTGGCTCCTGACACCTGGGCTCCTGTGGCCACATTTCTCCTCACAGAGAAAAGCAAGGCACAATCCTTCCCAAGAGTATTTCTGGGTTTCACATTGTCTGAACCTCAGAGAAAGGAAAAACAAATCTTATCTCATTTGCAGTGCCTGTGCTTGTGCCACAGCAGAACGCAATGCGGAGATTGTTCACCCACAGTGATGGTGTTTTGTTCTTTGGCCTGTCAGGGCCAGGTGGGTGTGTGGGTGTGTGTGTGTGTGTTGGGATTGTCACTGACACTCACAAGTGGAGGGCAGTGTGTGCAGGGTTGAGTGCTTGGTAGATTCAGTTTGGATGCAGTGTAATATAGTGTAAAATAATATAGAATAATATAGTATAACAAAGTAATTAATTAATGCCAATGGAGTCAAGTGCATCATTCTGTCCCCTCCTCGGGGGTGGCAATATCCACTGTAGGCTTCCCTGCCCCACACCTGCACTCACACAAGATGCTGCAGTCAGCTTTCCAGGCAATTTAACCTGGGTTAATTAATGAGCAGAGCATCACAGTCAGGTGAGAGGAGGCAGGTGAGCCCTGTGGGACACTCCAGAGCTGCCCCCAGAGGCTGTGGGGGGAGCTGAGGCCAAAGGAGCCCCCGATGCTGCGTGTGTGTGACAATGCCCACCCCTGTACGTGTGCACACACACACCTGTCCGTGTGAGAGAGCCTGGGCACAGGTGTGTGCATGCACGTGGGGGTCACAGCACCGTGGATCCATCAGCTGCACAGAACTCTGACATCCCCACCCTGTCCCCAGCCCAGAGCTCCGAGTGCCACCTCCAGGTGCCACCTGCAGGGCTGGGCACTCCAGCCCCCCCTGGGCAGTGCCAAGGCAGCTCCTGAGCCCCCTTTCCATGGGGAAATTCCTGCTGCGCCCACCCTGAGCTGCCCTGGCCCAGCCTGAGGCCGTTCCCTCTGCTCCTGTCCCCGTTCCCCCCGGCTGTGCCCTCGTGGCAGGAGCTGTGCAGAGCCACAAGGGCCCCCTGAGCCTCCTTTTCCTGTGCAGGGATGTCCCCATGTCTGCCCATGGTGACACCTGCCCACGCATGGACACACCTGTCCACGGTCACACCTGTCCATGGTCACACCTGTCCGTGGTCATACCTGCCATTCATGGTCACACCTGCCCATGCATGGACATACCTGTCCATGGTCACATCTGTCCATGGTCACACTTGCCATTCATGGACACACCTGCTCATGGACATACCTGCCCATGGATGGTCACACCTGTGCACGGTCACACCTGTCCCTGGTCACACCTGTCCATGGTCACACCTGTCCCTGGTCACACCGGCCATTCACGGTCACACCTGCCCACGGTCCCACCGGCCCGCCAGGCGCGGGCGGCCGCGCGCACGGAGCGGCGCCGCAGGAGGCGGGCCCGGGGCGGGGCGGCCCCGGAGCGGCGGGCGGGCGGTTCCGGCGGGAGCGGCCGGGGCTGTTGCGCTGTTCCCGAGCAGTTCCCGTGCGCCCGGGGCCGTTCCGGTGTGCTCGGGGCTGTGCCCGCGTGCCCGGGCTGTTCGGGGCCGTTCCGCCGTTCCCGGGGCTGTCCGCGCCGTTCCCGTGTTCCCGGCTGTCCCGCTCTTCTCGTTGCTGTCCCGGCGGCTCGGTGACCCTGGCGGGGCGGGCGGCGGCGGCCATGGCCATGTCGGTGTTCGTGACGCGGCGGATCCCGGCCGAGGGGCTGCGGGTGCTGTCCCAGGCCAGCGGGTGAGCGCGGGGCGCGGCGGGGCCCGGTGCCGGTGAGGGTGCCGGGTGTCCCGGTGCCGGTGTGTGCCGGTGTGTGCCGGCGTGTCCCGGTGCCGGGTGTCCCGGCGCCGGTGCCGGTGTGTGACGGTTGTCGCGCCGGTGCCGCGTGCAGCAGTGGGACTCGGACGAGCCGGTCCCAGTGCCGGTGCGGGTCCCGGTGCCCGTGTCGGTGCCGGGTGTCCCGGTGCCGGTGCCGGTGTGTGACGCTTGTCCCGCAGGTGCCGCGTGCAGCAGTGGGACTCGGACGAGCCGGTCCCAGTGCCGGTGTGTCCCGGTGCCGGTGCGGGTCCCGGTGCCCATGTCGGTGCCGGGTGTCCCGGTGCCGGTGCCGGTGTGTGACGCTTGTCCCGCAGGTGCCGCGTGCAGCAGTGGGACTCGGACGAGCCGGTGCCGCGGGCCGAGCTGCTGGCGGGCGTGGCGGGCGCGCACGGGCTGCTGTGCCTGCTCTCGGACCGCATCGACCGCGAGGTGCTGGACGCGGCCGGTGCGTGCTGACCCCGCTCCCCGCCCGCCCCGGCCCGGCCCGGGCAGCCGCGGCAGCGCCCTCGTGTCTTGCAGGGCCCGGCCTGAAGGTCATCAGCACCCTGTCCGTGGGCTTCGACCACCTGGCCCTGGACGAGATCAAGAAACGGTAACGCTGCCCCTCTCCTGCCCTGCTCCGACCCCGATCCTGCCCTCCCTGCCTCTGCACCCCCTGCCCCGTGCCCCGGTTCGGGACCCCCTCCCCGGCACGTCCACAGCCCGCTGCTCCCTCTTGGTGGGTGGGCTGCACCCCTCTCTGCTGCGGTCACCCACCTGCACAGCTGCGGTCACCCCCTGCGCCCCTGTCCTAGCTGGGGTCACCCCCTGCGCCCCTATCCTCCCTGGGGTCACCCACCTGTCCTGCTGGGGTCACCCCCTGCACCCCTCTCTGCTGGGGTCACCCACCTGCATGGCTGGGGTCACCCACCTGCACGGCTGGGGTCACCCACCTGCACCCCTATCCTCCCTGGGGTCACCCACCTATCCTGCTGGGGTCACCCTGCCACGCCAGGGCTGCGGGAGCCTTTGGGTGGGGGGTTCAGGATGGCTGAGAGCCGCGGGGCTGTCCGTGGCACTGGGATGGGTGCGGGGCTGTCCGTGGCACTGGGATGGGTACGGGGCTGTCCGTGGCAGTGGCACAGACGCGGTGCTGGCTCCCTGGGCACTGGCACAGGCACAGCGCTGGCTCCCAGTGGGACAGGCACAGGGCTCCGTGGCTCCCTGGGCTGGCAGGCAGCACCCAGAGCCGGCTGCAGCTGCCCTGGCAGCCCCCAGAGCCCGCTCTGCTGCAGGGGCATCCGCGTGGGATACACCCCGGACGTGCTGACCGACGCCACGGCCGAGCTGTCGGTGGCGCTGCTGCTGTCCGCCTGCCGCCGCCTGCCCGAGGCTGCCCAGCAGGTCCGCAGGTGAGCCGGGAGCGAGAGCCCCGCGGCTGAGACCGGGCTGGGACATGGGGCTGTGATCAGGGGCTGGGACATGGGGCTGGGACATGGGGCTGGGACATGGGGCTGCAGGGCTTGGTGCAGCTCACCCCGAGCGCCTGGGCTGGGCTCTGACGGTCCCTGTCCCTGTCCTGTTCTCCCTGCCAGCGGCGGCTGGACCACCTGGAAGCCCCTGTGGATGTGTGGGCACGGGCTGTCCGACAGCACCGTGGGCATCATCGGGCTGGGCAGGATAGGTAAGGCAAACCCCTGTGTGGCAGGGTGGGCTTGGGGCCTCACCCTCGGCCTGGGCTGCTGGAAGTGCCCCTGCTGGAGCTGGGAGGGTTGGAATGAGAAGGCCTAAGCAGGCTTTTCCAGCCCACGCTGTTCTGGGTCTCTGTGGCCTGCTGCTCAGCTGTGTAAACCCCGTGAGCACAGCGAGGGGAGCCTGCAGAGCCTCCCCAGCAGCTCTGCTGCCTCACCAGCCCCAGCCCTAAAGCCGCAGCTGTTCCCGTGCTCCCGCAGCAGCCTCTGCCCCTCCTGCCCTCCGTTGCACAAACGCAGCGGCAAAGTCCACGGCACACTTGGCACCATCCAGCTGCGGACTTTGCCACCGGCAGCCCCTCCTGTCCCTGCTCCCAGGCAGCCACGGGCTCGGTGTCCCCTGTGCAGAGCAGGACATCTCCATGCCGGGCAGGGTGAGCCCGCTGCTGCAGCCCTGCCCCGAGGGGCTGCGGGGCCTGGGCAGCCCAGCCCTTCCTCCGTCACTCAGTGTTCGGTGGAGATAATCAAAACTCCACAACTTTGTGGAAGCTGTAAAGCTGGTGTGCTTATTATTGCAGCGCTGGACGCATGTGGAGATTGCTCTCCTTAAAAGCCACGTGTGCTTCTGGGAACTCCAGGTCCCTTTTTATCCCCCTCTCGAATACATCTGCGTACAGTTTCACAGTAGGTTCATACATACTCATTTTACAAATTTCAGTGACATTCGCTGCTGGTTCTTCTTTATCAGGAAGAATTCCTAGGTCAGGCTGGCCTGCTGTCACAGCAGTCTCTGTCTCTCTCTATCACCCTCTGTCTCCCCCCTTCTCTCTGTCCTTCACTGAAGCAGTGTCCCTGAGCCTAGGCCTTTGCAGTCAGGCTACATAGCTGTGTTTTCCAGCCACAGACCCAAAGATGTACATTTCACCTAAATCAGAACGGATTTCTCCTCTGGAGAGTCTTGCTGTGTCTCGCTGCAGGACAGGCGGTTGCGCGGCGCCTGAAGCCCTTTGGGGTCAGCAGGTTCCTGTACACCGGCAGCGGCCCCAAGCCCGAGAGCGCGGCCGAGTTTGGGGCTGAGTTTGGTAAGGACAGCCCCAGGGCAGGGCCGGGGGGCTCCGGGGGGCACTCGGGGTCTGGGGGCTCCTGGGGGCACCCAGGGTGCGGGGCTGCCACCTGCCAGCCGTGCCCACGGTGGGGTGACAGGGGAGCCTGCCTGCTCTGAGCCAGGGCACAGCTGGGCTCGCAGGGTGCCTCAGGGCTCTGAGGGGGCTGAGCTGCTCCTGCTGCTGCGCCCCTGCCCCGTGTCCCTGCGCTGGGCGTTTCTGTCGGCTCCGCTGGGCACAGGGAGCGGGAGCAGGGTGTGACAGCAGCTGCTGGCAGGGGGGGCTGTGCTGGGCCGGGTTCCCGGGTGCCGCCGGGGCTGCAGCCGGCCCTGCAGCTCTGCCGTGTCCCTGTTCCTGCCCAGTCCCGCTCGCCACGCTGGCCCAGGAGTCCGACTTCGTGGTGGTCACCTGCGCGCTGACCCCGGCCACCCAGGGCATGTGCAACAAGGACTTCTTCGGCAGGATGAAGAAGACTGCTGTGTTTGTCAACACCAGCAGGTACTGGCAGCCCTGAGCCGAGCCTGGAGAAGGCCGACCTGGCCCTTGCACGGGTCTGAGAGCGTGGGGCATCTGCTGAGCTCTGAGTGCAGGCAGCAGCGCAGCCTTCATGGCTGCAGCTGCGGGGAGCCTTTGCCAAGGCCCCTTGGGAGTGAGCCGAATACAGGATAAATAATCCAGGAGCACTCGGCTCTCCCGCCGGTGTGGGCAGCTGGGGCAGGGCAGCTCGGCGCTGCTGGGACGCTGAGGCACACAGAGAGGGTCAGAGCTCTGTGTCCCGTGCCCCGAGCAGTGACCAGGCTGTCCCTGGGGCATGGGCTGTCCCTGGGGCATGGGCTGTGGGACATGGGTGAGCCAGGAGGATCTGTACGAGGCACTGCTGGGATGCTCAGGCACACAGAGAGGGTCAGAGCTCTGTGCCCCGTGCCCCGAGCAGTGACCAGGCTGTCCCTGCCCGCGCAGGGGGGCTGTGGTGAACCAGGAGGATCTGTACGAGGCGCTGGCCCAGGGGCAGATCGCGGCCGCGGGGCTGGACGTGACCACGCCGGAGCCGCTGCCCACCGACCACCCGCTGCTGTCCCTGCAGAACTGCGGTGAGTGTGCTGGGGCTGGCAGCCCCTCCGCAGGGACACGCGTGACAGGGACCCCTGGGCAGTGCTGGCACAGGGTGCCGGGGCACAGCACGGGCACGGGGTGTGTTCAGGGGGGTTACAGTGCAGCGCAGGGAGCTGCTGTGGGGTACAACCCATCAACGCGGTGCCAAACAAGCGTGGGAGCTGCTTTAATTTTCCAGAAAGGCATTGAGATAACCCTTGTGGTGGCCCTTCATTTGGTGTGTGAAACTCGTGCAGGATCTGGCATCAGCAGGGCATGAAAGAGAAACCAGCTCCCAGCTCAGGCCGTGCCCAGCTCGGGTGTTCTGGGGGCTCCGGAGCGCAAACTGGGGTGGAAAATTCCCCTCTGGCAGAAAGTGGGTTTGCCTGGGGGAGTCCTGGTGCTGGGAGTGCTGCTGGGCTGCGTGGGCAGCCTGGTACCTGAGGCACTGGGAGGGTGGGACAGGGGGCATGGGGCATGGGGTGTGGGACATGGGACATGGGACATAGGATGTGGGACATGGGACATGGCATGTGGGGCGTGTGGCGTGGGACATGGGGCATGGGATGTAGCACGTGGGGCGTGGGGCAGGTGCAGGCAAGGAGTGAGACCTGTCCTCTCTGGAGGAGGATGATGCAGCTGAGGAAGGATGGTAGGAAGGAGCTCGCTTGGCCACTGTGCCACAGGCTGTCCTCCCTCTGTGGGGAGAGGGTTTCTGGGGTAGGAAAAGTACATTCCACAAAAAACCCCATAGGGACATCCATGAAAATTTGGAGCTGCTCATGACTGTCTCTTTCTGAGGTACAAACTTACAGCTGCTGTTTTATTTTGTGCTACAACTCATTTTTTATTAGTTTGCATTATTTCTCAAAGTAAACAGTGTGAGGAGTGGTAAGAGCTGAGACTTTCTGGAAATATTTGCAGGACTTGGAGGCTTGAGAGCTCTGAAGCAAGAGCAGGCAGGGCACAATTCCTACACGTGTACTTACGGAGTACATTATTTTAGCAGTAATATTACACATTTATCGATGCACAGATGACACCTGCGGGGGTGCTGTGCCTGTGGGAGCCCTGGCGGGGCTGCAGGGGTCGGGGTGAGCGAGGGGCGAGCGGTCAGAGTGCTGTCTGAGCCGTGTCCCTGCCGTGTGTCCCGCAGTGATCCTGCCACACATCGGCAGTGCCACCTACGCCACGCGCGGCACCATGGCCGTGCTGGCAGCCAGGAACCTGCTGGCCGGGCTGCGGGGGGAGCCCATGCCCAGCGAGCTGACCTTCTGATGGGCAGAGCCTGGGGACAGAGCCCGATGGACGGAGCCCGTGGACAGAGCCCATGGACAGAGCCTGCTCCGGCCGGTGCCCCTGCCCGCGGTGCCAGCAGCCCTTAAAGAGCCATTAAAGAGCAGCAGCCAAGGCAGTGTGGTGATGGTGTTATTTTAGAGCAGGGCACGCTGTGGGTGCCAGCGGGCCGTGGGGAGGGCTGGCCCTGCGTGGGGAGCGCGTGCCATGCTGGGACATGGGGCGTGGGGAGCGCTTGCCATGCAGCGCTGGCCATGCTGGAGGTGCCACATGGAACGCGTGCCATGCAGTGCTGGCCGTGCTGGAGGTGCCACATGGAACGCGTGCCATGCAGCGCTGGCCGTGCTGGAGGTGCCACATGGAACGCGTGCCATGCAGCGCTGGCCGTGCTGGAGGTGCCACATGGAACGCGTGCCATGCAGCGCTGGCCGTGCTGGAGGTGCCACATGGAACGCGTGCCATGCAGCGCTGGCCGTGCTGGAGGTGCCACATGGAACGCGTGCCATGCAGCGCTGGCCGTGCTGGAGGTGCCACATGGAACGCGTGCCATGCAGCGCTGGCCGTGCTGGAGGTGCCACGGGGAGCTGCTGCAGCACACCCGTCCTCAGAGCCCGGCTCTGGGCACGGTGAGAGGCCGGGAGTGCCTGCCCTGCGCTCGTGGCAGGACAGGGAACGGCTTGGTCTGTGCACCTGCTGCTGCCACGGGAGCTGCTGCTGCTTCCACACATCCAGTGGTCCTGTGGAATCAGTGGCACTGCATAATCCTCTGCTTGAGGGTTTCCTTTTTCTAAAGGAAAGCACAGCCTGGGCTCGTGCAGCTCCCCAGGCACCTCCAGCTCTGGCTGTGTGTCCATAACCAGCGCCAGGCGCAGCTCCAGAGCGGGTGGCAGGCTGGGATTCACCGGGAGGCTCCGGCACCCACTGTGGGCTCTCAGATGCGTGGTGACGTTTTTTGGGGCAGAGGAGATCCCGAGCAGCGTCTGAGGCTCCGTCTGCCAGCAGAGCCTGATGGGCACCTCTCGAGGGCTGCGGGGATCCCTGTGCCCTGCAGCCACTGCCCCACTCCCGTAACTGGGGCTGGAACCTGAGCCCACCTCTCCGTGCCACTGCTCACGGAACCGGAGAATGCCTTGGGCTGGCTTGGGCTGGGTTGGGTTCGGTTGGAAGGTCTCAGGTTCTGGTTGATAATTGCTGCCCCAGATGTGCAGGATGGCTCTGCTTCAGCCTGCGCATATGAAGAATGAGTCTGCACTCTTCGCTTTTCAGTCTTCAGGTTGTTTATTAATTCTTATGTATAAAATTTTCTCTCTGCCCAGCCGAGATCTGCTCAGCAGGGCAGCCACAGGCACTCTGAGCGCCCCCGAGGTGGTGTTGTCTTTTTATACCACAAACTACATATAACATATTTACACTCAATTCCCAATACCCATCACCTGTGTTAGACAGTGCACTGCTACTCTAAACCAATCCCTAAGTGCCAACATCACAGCAGAAAATGGAGAACAAGAAGAAGAAGAAAGGCTGGACACGCCCAAGTTCCTCCACAGCCCTGTCACAGCAGTGTCACAGCCGCGTCACAGCCGTGTCACAGCCCTGTCACAGCCGCGTCACAGCCGCGTCACAGCCCTGTCACAGCCCTGTCACAGCCCTGTCACAGCCGTGTCACAGCCCCGTCACAGCCCTGTCACAGCCACGTCACAGCCGCGTCACAGCCGCGTCACAGCCCTGTCACAGCCGCGTCACAGCCCTGTCACAGCCCTGTCACAGCCCTGTCACAGCCCTGTCACGGCCGCGTCGCGGCCGTGTCACAGCCGCGTCACAGCCCTGTCACGGCCGCGTCACAGCCGCGTCACAGCCGCGTCACGGCCGCGTCACGGCCGCGTCACGGCCCTGTCACAGCCGCGTCACAGCCCTGTCACAGCCGCGTCACAACCGTGTCACAGCCGCGTCACAGCCCTGTCACAGCCGCGTCACGGCCGCGTCACAGCCCTGTCACAGCCGCGTCACGGCCGCGTCACGGCCGCGTCACAGCCCTGTCACAGCCGCGTCACGGCCGTGTCACAGCCCTGTCACAGCCGCGTCACGGCCCTGTCACAGCCGCGTCACAGCCGCGTCACAGCCCTGTCACAGCCGCGTCACAGCCGTGTCACAGCCGCGTCACAGCCGTGCCACAGCCGCCTCACAGCCCTGTCACAGCCCTGTCACAGCCGTGTCACAGCCCTGTCACAGCCGCGTCACAGCCCTGTCACTGCTTAGTAACAGCCCTGTCACAGCCGTGTCACAGCCCTGTCACAGCCGCGTCACAGTCGCGTCACAGCCCTGTCACAGTCCTGTCACAGCTCTGTCACAGCCGCGTCACAGTCGCGTCACAGCCCTGTCACAGCCCTGTCACAGCCCCGTCACAGCCCCGTCACAGCCGTGTCACAGCCCTGTCACAGCCCTGTCACAGCCGTGTCACAGCCCTGTCACAGCCCTGTCACAGCCGCGTCACAGCCCTGTCACAGCCCTGTCACAGCCCTGTCACAGCCGCGTCACAGCCGCGTCACAGCCGCGTCACAACCGTGTCACAGCCCTGTCACAGCTCTGTCACAGCCCTGTCACAGCCCTGTCACAGCCACGTCACAGCCGCGTCACAGCGGCGTCACAGCCCTGTCACAGCTCTTTCACAGCCGCGTCACAACCGTGTCACAGCCGCGTCACAGTCGCGTCACAGCCCTGTCACAGACGCGTCACAGCCCTGTCACAGCCGTGTCACAGCCCTGTCACAGCCCTGTCACAGCCGCGTCACAGCCGCGTCACAGCCCTGTCACAGCCCTGTCACAGCCGCGTCACAGCCCTGTCACAGTCTTGTCACAGCCCTGTCACGGCCGCGTCACAGCCCTGTCACAGCCCCGTCACAGCCGTGTCACAGCCCTGTCACAGCCGCGTCACAGCCGCGTCACAGCGGCGTCACAGCCCTGTCACAGTCCTGTCACAGCCGCGTCACAGCCGCGTCACAGCCGCGTCACAGCCCTGTCACGGCCGCGTCACAGCCCTGTCACAGCCCCGTCACAGCCGTGTCACAGCCCTGTCACAGCCGCGTCACAGCCGCGTCACAGCGGCGTCACAGCCCTGTCACAGTCCTGTCACAGCCGCGTCACAGCCGCGTCACAGCCGCGTCACAGCCCTGTCACGGCCGCGTCACAGCCCTGTCACAGCCCCGTCACAGCCGTGTCACAGCCCTGTCACAGCCGCGTCACAGCCGCGTCACAGCCGCGTCACAGCCCTGTCACAGTCCTGTCACAGCTCTGTCACAGCCGCGTCACAGCCCTGTCACAGCTCTGTCACAGCCGCGTCACAGCCGCGTCACAGCGGCGTCACAGCCCTGTCACAGTCCTGTCACAGCCGCGTCACGGCCGTGTCACAGCCCTGTCACGGCCCTGTCACAGCTGCGTCACGGCCGCATCACAGCCGTGTCACAGCCCAGTCACGGCCGTGTCACAGCCCCGTCACAGCCCTGTCACAGCCGCGTCACGGCCGTGTCACAGCCCTGTCACGGCCCTGTCACAGCCGCGTCACGGCCGCATCACAGCCGTGTCACAGCCCTGTCACGGCCGCGTCACAGCCGCGTCACAGCCCTGTCACAGCCGCGTCACAGCCCTGTCACAGCTCTTTCACAGCCGCGTCACAACCGTGTCAGAGCCGCGTCAGAGCCGCGTCACGGCCGCGTCACAGCCCTGTCACAGCCGCGTCACGGCCGTGTCACAGCCCTGTCACAGCCGCGTCACAGCCCTGTCACAGACGCGTCACAGCCCTGTCACAGCCCTGTCACAGCCCTGTCACAGCCCTGTCACAGCCGCGTCACAGCCGCGTCACAGCCCTGTCACAGCTGCGTCACAGCACTGTCACAGCCCTGTCACAGTCCTGTCACAGCTCTGTCACAGCCCTGTCACAGCCGCGTCACAGCCGCGTCACAGCCCTGTCACAGCTGCGTCACAGCACTGTCACAGCCCTGTCACAGCCCTGTCACAGCCCCGTCACAGCCGCGTCACAGCCGCGTCACAGCCCTGTCACAGCTCTTTCACAGCCGCGTCACAACCGTGTCAGAGCCGCGTCAGAGCCGCGTCACGGCCGCGTCACAGCCCTGTCACAGCCCTGTCACAGCCCTGTCACAGCCGCGTCACAGCCGCGTCACAGCCCTGTCACAGCCGCGTCACAGCCCTGTCACAGCCGCGTCACAGCCGTGTCACAGCCGCGTCACAGCCGTGCCACAGCCGCCTCACAGCCCTGTCACAGCCCTGTCACAGCCGTGTCACAGCCCTGTCACAGCCGCGTCACAGCCCTGTCACTGCTTAGTAACAGCCCCGTCACAGCCGTGTCACAGCCCTGTCACAGCCGCGTCACAGTCGCGTCACAGCCCTGTCACAGACGCGTCACAGCCCTGTCACAGCCCTGTCACAGCCCTGTCACAGCCCTGTCACAGCCGCGTCACAGCCGCGTCACAGCCCTGTCACAGCTGCGTCACAGCACTGTCACAGCCCTGTCACAGTCCTGTCACAGCTCTGTCACAGCCCTGTCACAGCCGCGTCACAGCCGCGTCACAGCCCTGTCACAGCTGCGTCACAGCACTGTCACAGCCCTGTCACAGCCCTGTCACAGCCCCGTCACAGCCGCGTCACAGCCGCGTCACAGCCCTGTCACAGCTCTTTCACAGCCGCGTCACAACCGTGTCAGAGCCGCGTCAGAGCCGCGTCACGGCCGCGTCACAGCCCTGTCACAGCCGCGTCACGGCCCTGTCACAGACGCGTCACAGCCCTGTCACAGCCCTGTCACAGCCGCGTCACAGCCCTGTCACAGTCTTGTCACAGCCCTGTCACGGCCGCGTCACAGCCCTGTCACAGCCCCGTCACAGCCGTGTCACAGCCCTGTCACAGCCGCGTCACAGCCGCGTCACAGCCGCGTCACAGCCCTGTCACAGTCCTGTCACAGCTCTGTCACAGCCGCGTCACAGCCCTGTCACAGCTCTGTCACAGCCGC